TGCGCTGTGACACCTGATGATATCTCTGATTTCGCGGTAAATAACTAATACTTAATTAATAAATAAATATTATAATTAAGATTGCTTGTCTAAACTTATTTTGAATTTAACAAAATGTTTAAATTTTAGTTTTACTAATTTATTACTAAAATTTTAATATAGTTTCGCATTTTTATAAGTTTTAATATAGTTTTATCTTTTTCTGATTTTTTTAATAAGAGTTTAATATAAATTTGCTAAATTTTACTTTTATTATTTAGACGAAATGATTTGCAAAACCTTTAAGTTTCATCTAGCAATCTTAATTATAGCTAAAATTGTATTGATCATAATAGAAATAAACTTAGGATTTGAAGAAGTATAATCAAAATATATAATAATGATTATTATATAAAAAATATGAAGAAAAATATATAAAAAATATATATTTTAAATGATTATTTAGTAAATAATTAAAAGAACAATTTTAAAGAATATAATGTTAGAATAAAATATTCTGAAAAATACTGATAATAATCTGATAAACTAGTCTATTATGCAAGGTAAATAATATTTTTATAATCTGATTTTTTTGAATAAAGGTTAATATTGAAGAAAATAACAAATAATTATCTACAAATTTACACGTAAATTAAGTAAGCAATTACAGTTAGAACTGCTTATAATTGTTACTTTTGGTTTTTAAAAATTACGTGATTATAAATAGGAATGTGATATAAATTAATTAATTTATTTAAACTAGAATATTAATTGATTTTTGTTTAATTTTAATTTTTTCTTTTTATTTTTGTATATATAAATTTTCAAATTATTTTTTTTGGTTTAAATTTTTCGAATTTTGTTCGGTTTAATAATTTTAATAATTTTGAAATTTTCTTTAATTATTTCAAACTTTTTTTTTGTTTTAATCCCACGCCTTTACATACATACGAATTAATTCAATAATTAAAAAAAAAAACCTACAAAATACGGATGAAGTAGCCAAAGGGAAGATAATTTTAAATGCAAAAGGAAGGACAAACAGCCGACTTTATATAATAGATGCGATAAACAGCTTTTATCGTAGTTATGCTTATCAAAAGTTAACCCCCCAGAAATTTTTATCAAGGGGTGAATTTTTTTTTTTAAAAAATTTTTTAAGTTTTATTTTTTAATTGAGTGTGCCAAGATGATTAAGAAGAAAAGAATAGGGTGGTCAGCTAAAAACAAAGGGGAAAGGGATAATAATCATATTGAAATTAAAAAAAGTATGTTCTTCTATTCGAAAATTAAATTTTTCGAAAACGGTAGGATGAATATTTGGCTATATGAACTCGATTAATTTATAATCCTCTGCAACTTTTAACATTAATTGAAAAACTGGTATGGAATTTTGAAAACCATTTTGAATGTTAAATGAAGATAATGTTAATAAAAATCGGCTCATGGCCTCTACGAACAGAATTAATCGATAGCGTTCAAAGTACTTTGAACTAATTGATTATACTTATTCTATTCTATTTATCAAATCCGGAGGAGACATAGCGTATCAGAATTGATACTAACTGCAACTGCAACTGTACTTTTCATCGGACCATGGGTATATACAACAATCAGATAAACGTTCTACATGACGTTTTGGTGTAATAATAAACATTGATCTTGCTTTTGCATCGAACCATGAATTATGACAAATTGAGACCTCTTCACGCGTTGTTGATGGATATGCTAAACTCGAAAAATATATGTTTCAGATTCCTTGTACCTGTTATGATATTAGGTGCGCTTAATTTGTTCATTTAGGATTTGAATGAAACAGGCTTTGATAAATACTTGGGGAATTGTCAACATCTCTATTACCTTACAATAATGGCTATTTTAATTTCTATGGGTGTTCTTGGATTTATTGAGGGAATTTTCTTGGGTATTGTTATGTCTTGTATTTTTTTCTTGATATCAAATTCTCGAAAGAATGCATTTCGAGCTACATTTTGAAAGTTTTCATTAAAATTCATTGTACGACGTCGATACCGACAACAAGTAATAATTAAATTATGGTGTTGAAATGCAATTTGATAAGTTTTTAAATCATCAATGGAAAAAAATCCGATTCAATTTTTAATTGCTGATACTTTTCGAACTTTGTCGGGCCATATATAATTCCAAAATTGGAATTTGGAGATATATCGAGTAAATATTCATGATTTGAAAATTTCAACGATGACTTAGAATGGTTAAGTGTAAATATGTTTTAAATACATATTATGGAATAGTTATTGCTGCAAATTTAAAAGCAAATCAAATTGGTACCAATTAAAGTCTTCCAGTATACCAATTTTATATGTTAAAATCTAACCTTCAATTTACAAAAAAAATATAACTGGATTTTTACCTAAACCTACAAATTAAAGTTATATTTCAAGTACATATCCACTCCAGCTTTTTGTTAGAACTGTCGATAACATAACGTTAAAGATGCGTTTTGTTATTTTCCAAGAATATTTATATGATCAAAAATTTATGTGCGCGCGATTTCGTAAAATGTAATTCACAAATTTTTTTTTTTTAAAAAAAAATAATTTGGACATCTAAATGAAGTCATGCACGAAGCGTCAAAAACTTGTAGCGTACTTATGGAAGCACTTGAAGAGTAATTCTTCAATTAAAACCAGATTTTCGAGAAATATATGTTCCATCATCCATCGAGATGCTGTACCAGATTGTTATAGAGTAGCAATGGATCAGTAGAAAGCATTTTCTGTACAATGGCGGGATAACTTGGACTTTATACTTGTAAACATAAAAGCTAACCTTGGCGCTAATATAGCAAACGAATCATGTGTTTAGATTAAGCATCATTTCATATGTTTTCATTTTATATTTTATTAATATTTCAATCTGAATTATGATTTGTCAATTTCTCTCATAGACGACCTAGCTAAGACAAGAAGTTAGAATTTATGAATTTAATAATATTTCGAGTAAACTACGGGATATTTAATCCACCAACAGTAAATTACTACGGCGTCAAGATCGTTTACGTGGTTCAAAAATTACAGTATATCATGAACATTTTCACTTCGTAAAAAAAAAAAAATTTAAAGTCAAGGTATCCTTTATGGTGTTTATAAAGCAAATTCGTCAAATCGAACTCAAATGTTTGAGAGTATTTTGTCACTATTGACAGTATATACTATTGGATGCGTATACAATAAGAGAGGAGAATCTTTATGAATTCTCCTTTTCAAGTAAACAAAGAGACGAGATTCGTTCGAAATGACGGATTGTCACTAGTTGGCGCATTTTTGCGAAATCTCATTAATAAAAGTAGTAGATTTATCAAATTTAAGTTTACAACACTACAGGATGGTTTAGATAAAAAAAAATAATATTTTTTTATAAAAAGAAAATTATTTTGTGACTATTTAAATTGAAATATTAAATATTAATAAATAAATAATGACTAACCTTTTTTTTATTGCTTCTTTAGATCTCTTTATAAACAGTAATACCAATTACTACAAGTTACGATCATTAAATTATGCTAATTATCCTAGTTCAAAATAAAATTTATTCTAATTTTCTCTTTTTTTTAGAAATTAATTTCAATGTTAATTTTTATTCATATAGAACCATTATAGTAAAAACATAATAAAACTTTGCTTACTTACTATTAACTTGAGTATTCGCTTCTAATCCTTCTATATTACGTTTTCTTGAATTTGCGGCGGCTGAAGAATTTGGAATATATTGGTTGTGCGTCAGGTATCGATTT